GTCTCTACTAAAAATACAAAATTAGCCAGGTGTGGTGGCGCATGCCTGTAATCCCAGCTACTCGGGAGACTGAAGCAGGAGAATCACTTGAACCCAGGAGGCAGAAGTTGCAGTGAGCCAAGATCATGCCCCTGCACTCCAGCCTGGGCAACACAGCAAAACTCCACCTTCGAAAAAAAGGAAAAAAAAAAAAAAGGTAGACTGCCTATGCCAAGAATGCCATAAGGCTTAGGGAGAAGAGAAGTCACATTTTAAGAGAGTTCAGCTTTGGTTGTCCTGGTTCATTCATCACACATTTAAAAATATGTAAGTTGAAGAGGTTTCAGTGGGCCTGAATTCTTGGGTGTGAGTCCCAATCATTTCACTAGCGTGGAAGCCCAGAGTACCCTTATTCCATAGTCTTGGGTATAATTTGGGTTGGGGAAGCCAGTTGCCCAATAACCTGAGGATGATAAGCTAGAGATGTTAGCACGACTGCTGTTAATGGGCTTGCATTCTCCCTCACTTCCTCCCAGGCCCATTGGGTCACCAGGTCTGGTAGCCACTGCACATAGGGCTTTGTGCCCATGATCAACATGCTGATATTTATTTATTTCATGTTTATTTTAGAGAAGGGGTCTCGCTCTGTCACCCAGGCTTGAGTGCAATGTCACAATCCTAGCTCACAGCGGCCTTGAACTCCTGAGCTTAAGCGACGCCCCTCCCTCGGCCTCCCAGAGTGCTGGGATTACAGGTGTGAGCCGCAGTGCCTGCCCTCAGCCTGCTCACAGATGCTCCCAGTTCAGCCAGATTTCCCTGGGTGGCAGTCACTACAGAGCAGAGCTCCTTGGGGCAAAGGGAAGTGTGTTCTTTTCCCTGCTTTCCCGTTCATCTGTTACTCATTCTTCTCTGTCCTGCCTACCCCTGGGTCCACCAAAGGACACAGTGCAAAGCCTGCTTGGGAGACCTGACACACAACAACTCCATGCCCTGGCCGTCTCTCTTAGGTTTGAAAGGCAAGGAGTAAGGGTGATCTGGTTGCTATCCAAATCCACAAAATCCCGGATAAAACACACTCTTTAACCGCTCCGTGCAGCGGGCCCCATGGGTGCTGTGCAGACCAGCCTTGGTGCTGTGTGCACAGGGAAGCTTGCCCCTTCCAAGCCAAGTGCCGACCCAACAGTGCATTAGCGTTTCTCTAGCTCGACTGGGCTTGTCTGCCTTGCTTTGTCCATGGATGCAAACACTGCTCTGGCCTTCCTCTCTCTGCCTTTCAATACTCATGTGGAGCCTGTCCCATTACAAAACCAAGGTCAAACATTCCAATAAAACGAAGGGCACCTCCGAGTTCTCCCATAGCACTGGAGCACCCTTGTACGTTATGTTCTTTCACAGAATAAAGAAATGTGACTCGTTCCTGGAGACTGGAAGTCACCTCAAGAAACTAAGGATTTGATAGGAGTGGGATTTCCTATAATGAGATCAGACCCCTAGTGGGATCTGACCCACTGTGGAAACAAGGATGCCTGTCCTCTGGCTTAATCCAAGATGGCTTAACCTCTTCCTTGGGATTATTATAATATGTCTCTGATAGGCAGTGTGCTATCCTCTGTGGAAAGAGCTTTAGAAAATTCCCACTCAAGCTCTCAACACTGTCATATGCAACAGGCGTCTCCCCACCCAGATGGCTGGGTTGGCTTCTCCCCTCGATGGCTCTCCTTCTGCACCAGAGCTAGGAATCCACTGGCTGTTAGGATAGGCAGGGCACACTGGCCAGGACCCTGGCTCTATGGCACCAAGGAATTTAGGACCAGAGTTTTAAAAGTTAGGAAGAAGGCATGCAGAAATGACAGAAGATCCTGAAAGTACAGCCTGCAATATGAGTATTACCCACAGACTAGGGTGAGACACCACCTTCTCCAAATCAACAGCAAGGGTTGAAGGAGCTGCTGAGATCTGTGGGGAGTTTATATGATTTGAACTAGGTATTTCTGATGCTTCTTCAAACACTTTTACACCCCTTGAGAACAGAGCTCTTCCTTAAGAAACACAGGAACATTAGCTCCTCCTATAAGCCTGTTTCTATAATCATGAAAGTGGGGATTTAGGTTTACTAACCAGACAAAACCAGTCCTGAACTTTATCCATCTGAAATGAGAAATCTAGGAATGATGCTTTGGTCTGACAAAGCCCAGATTCTTAAGGAGAAATAGTGATCAGCCTGGTAGGTGGATTTAGAAACCCGTATCTACTTTGAGTGAAGAAGAGAAGGAGGAATAAACATTAGAAATATTTTATTCATTGTGCCAATATCACTTCCACCCTCGCAAAGGGAAGCTAGTGGGGGTTTAAGGCTTACAAATGTCACTTGTGCTTCCTGTCATGCTAAAAAGAGAGTGAATTACACTACTTAAGAAACAAACAAACAAACAAAAAACAGCCCATGTGGATTTATGTGTTCCTCCTAGATGGTAACTTTTAGAAAGGATGAATATGTCTGGACCTTCTGGGATATCACAGTCGCCCGCAAGAAAATGAGAAGAGAACTGCAATTATGGTGGGCCAGATATGGGGGGAGTGGGATGAGAACTGGCAGAGCCAGACCCATCCTAGAGGCAAGAGGGCAGTGGCCCTATCCCCAGGCAAATGCAAGAGCCAGGGAGGATCTTTTCCTGCCTGTTCCCAAACTAAAGCAAGAGGAGGCAGAAGAAATGGGGCCAAACAGAATGCAGAACTCACACTCTCTAAAAATAGGCAGCTTGTGGCCAGAGTCAGTTTCAGCATCTTCCCAGGAGTGGAAGGCGGGACAAGGGCCCTGAACCCTCTGATGCAGAAGCAACCAGGAAACCTTCAAGCTTGGCTGGCATGAGGGTCCCCAAGTCCCACGAAAGAGGCGGGGGGTGAGGGGCACAGCTTACATCCCTGGGTCTCCTGCCCAAAGGCTGAAAGGTGGACTAGGCAACCGGGCTTGCACATAGTGGGGAAATGTCAGGGGCGTGTTGTGTGCTGCTGTTTTGGGAAAAGGTGAGAAGTGCCTAAGAGCTTGCAGCCCATAGAGAAAAGGCTCTCAAGACCCGGCAGGCTCCCTGACGTTGGCTTCCCATTCAACCTTGCCTGGTGCGAAAGGATACCATTGGGCAAACTTCCTCGAGCCAGGCAGCCTTCCTTCATTACTGATAGGAAGATGGGAAAATTAATAGGGGTAATATGAGCTCATTTCAATAATAATGAGCTCATGAACATGCCAGGTTTTGATCTTTTCTGATGCATGGATTCCTGGCAGGAACTATGGTCCTACGTAGGTAGTTGAAAGAACTGAAAATAGACTTTAAAAAAAAGGCTCTAAACAACAATAAAAAAGAAACCACCCCAATCACAAACCTAAAACAACAATGAAAAAAAAAAAAAAAGCCTTAAACATTGCTCCACCAGTTAAAAAAAAAGGAAAAAATTTGGACTGACATAAAACACTTTTTTCCTTTCTTTTAAGTATTGTTTTTAACAGCTTCAAAAGTAATGAATTGTATGTGGCTAAAAATAGATCTGGGGGTAGTGGTTAATGGGGCCTTGTGAATCATTCAGCATAAGGAACTGTCAATATTTTTTTGAGCTGTCAGAAATCCATTTAGTGATTTTCGACAATTCAAAAAAATATTTCTGACCGCTTGATTCAGTTCCTAGTGAATTAGGGAAGAAGAGGAATAAAAGAAATATATCAATCTAAATTATGAACCCAGAGTCTAGCTTCCTGAATTCTGCTCTGTGCTTAAAGGAACAACACGATGCTGAGGTTCAAAAATATTCTCTTCTATTTTTCCCCTTCCTTCCCTTTTCTTTCCTTTCTTCCTTCTTTCCTTCCTCCCTCCTTCCTTCCTTCCTTCTTTCCTTCCTTCCTTCCTTCTCTCCCTCCCTCCCTTCCTTCTTTCCATCCTGCCTTCCAGCCTTCCTGCCTTCCTGCCTCCCTGCCTTCCTGCCTGCCTTCCACAGGTGAAGTGAAATTATAGATATCCATTCATAAATTACAGATGGAAAGGTATCATGGTCATTTGTCTCTGGTGAGGATATTTAGGGCTGGTTTCAAACAGAAGAATATGTTGAGCTACTTTTCAGAGAAAGGCTTTCAAATACGGATATCTGGGTGCCAAGAGAATGACTTTGATTCCCCCTGACCACCCCAACATTCATTTGATCCAAACCTAGTCCTTAAATTTATCATTATGTTCTAAAATCTGGAATTCCTTTGGGGCACCCATATGCTTTAAGGAGCTAAAGAAGTGTCAGTTTGCTACAGGATCAGACAAGCATGAATCCAAGATGCACAGGGTCACATCACTACTGTTCAGGGACTTCACAATGTACATGTCTTGTTAGAACAACAGACAGACAGGTGAACAGACAGACAAACAGAAGGCAAGCGCAGAAGGCCAAAGTCACAGTAACTGCCATTTGGTTTGTCTAAAAATGAGTCACAAACACCCAGAAACCATCTCCCTCTTTGGAGAGAAGGTCGCTTTATTTCTATACTGTGGTTAGTGTGATATGATTTTAGTATCCTCTAAGTCAATAAAAGACAAGTTTAAGAAAGCAGATTTGGCTTAGCAAAGCGGTAAGGAATTGTCTTTAGGCATCTTTTGCATAAATTGAAAAACTGAAGAATTTGCAAGTTACCATGTCTCTTTTCATTTTTGTTTTGTAAGTTGATTTTCCCCCCTTCAAGTTCTAGATGGCAAACAGGAGTAGTTCACATGGTGAAAGACCACCCCCTTTTCCATGCCTTCTGTACAGGCATTTTAGTACATTATAATGCAAATTGGAACACAAAAGTATGAGTCCTAAAACTTCTAAACAAAATGGACTTTTATGATTGTCTACATTGCAGATACAGCATTGAGGGTTTTTTCTAATATTTCATTCAAAATTTGCTCATGGATAAGTCTACCCCATTTTTGTTTTAAAAAAATGCACAATTCAGCACTGATGTTTTGGGAAATGAACTATAGGAAGAGGATTCTAAAACTTACCACACAAGTCTGGCCTCTTGATACATCCAGAATTTGCTGTGCTACTTGCAAGTCCATTAAAGGCTGCTAAGCCATCAGAGCTGTAGGCCCTGAGGACCGACAGCATGTTCATCGGCTTGTCCAGGCTCTGCGGCCCCCGCTCCGGCTTTGGCAGGCCCGCCAAGGGGTCCTGGGCTTGGAGAAGACCCTGGCTATGCCACTGCTTCTCCGGTGCTTGGGATAAAGGTGAGACCAGTCCTTGGACGGGCTGGGGGGCGCCTGTGGGCTGCAGGCTGTCCCCGCCATCACTGCTGCTGTCTTTGCTGAGGGCAGACAGGGGCTTGGTCATCATTTCCGGTTCGGTTTCAACATCCTCTTCATCGTTGTTCTCTCCCTTGGAGGAGTCCATGTCCTCTGAGGAGGCGATGTCGGAGAGGTCATCAGTGGTGTTCTTACTCGTGGTTTCGGGGATCAGGATGGGGGCATCCTCTTCAGAGTGGGCCTTTCCATCAGGCTCCTTGTTGGGGCAGGAACTGGAGGCCCCCGAGCCAACCATGCCTGGGTAAACACCAAACTGCTTGTAGAAGTCGGATGGGAAGTTACAAAATGCAGGGTCCACGTGGCTGGTCCATGTGCCGCTCTTCTGCTCCCCCAGAGTCTCCTTGACCTGACCTTGGGCCATCTTCTCAGAAGCAGAGTCTAGAGAGCCAATCATACTGGAGAGGCCCATGTCTTTGTTTGATTGTACTGAGGGCAGCAGGGCCATCTTACTCGCCTCCCGGGCTTGGTCTTTGCAGTTGACTGTGACCCCGAGAGTGTTATCTTTGCGTTTCGCTTTGCCCAGGTGGTTGGCCTGGAGATGCAGGGCCATGAGCTCCATGGAGGACGTTGTGAAAGCACAAAACAAGCAGCCGTGCCACGCGATGCTGTCCTGCACAGTTACCGAGGAGCCCGGGAGGGAGGCGGCATCTGGCCGCACAGACAAGTCTAGGGGTTCATACTGAGATTTCTCGGACTTCCTCTGGGAGGACTTGCCACTGGGTTTCTCCTCGCCACCATCCACTCCGTGGACTTTCATGGAAGGGGGGTCAGCCAGGGCTTTGTCCTTCACGTCCTTCTCCTTCTTCAAGGAACTGAGGACAAAGCTGTCCATGAAAGCTTGCAAGGACCCTTGGAAATTCACGCCGTTGCTCACGATGCTTTGATAAGCTCTTCCGATCTCGGAGAAGTGGGTGCTTTTGGCAGGAAGGTCGGCGCCTTTCAGAGCATCTGAGGGGATCTCTGAAGACATGCCGGTGGCCTGCCCCGAGTGATCTCCGGACGAGAGCACCCCTGATGTCCACTGCTGAGATGCAGGGCCTCCTCTGAAGTCGATTCCAGGGAGACCCTTGAAGGCGCCCCTCAGGATGTCTGGCCTGATGAACAGAGAAGTTTTGCTTGACATCTCGTCCTTGTGGTCCTGATTCGGGGGCTGCCCAGACAGCGGCCCAGCCCCATTCTGCCGCTCCCGGTGGTGTCGCTCTAAGTGGTATTTTAAGGACGCTGACTGCGTGCCGGCATAGTCACAGTGCGGACACTTGTAGGGTTTCTCACCTGCAAGATTTTGATACAAGAAAAAAAAGAGGCGTTTATCTCATTTTGGTGTGCTGAACGAGGCTGGAAGGATCAACATTTGTTCTTTGAAACAAAGCAGCTCAAACTAATAATTAGAGAACAACTGTTTTTTAATAGAAGAATAATTCGTACTCTTAAGCTTTTTTAATGATTTTGTACCATTTGGGACTATTCAGGAATGACATACTATCTACACACAATTAGCTATCTTTTTCTTTATCTAACATGTGAAAACGGCTGTAGATTTAAAAGCTATGATTATGAAAATTAAGCATAATAATTTCAGCCACAGTGATCATTAAAAGTAGAAGTTTAAAAAGAGAAAGTATGTAACAAATGGGTGGTTGCAATATTTTGTGTATACAATAGCTCTAAAATTTGTTTAAATTATACACATGGAAACCATTTTTAAACCTAAAAATTTTATGGCACTGTTACGCAAGACTGAAATGAATGATTTAAGTCTTGCTCTGCAGTAAATCATGGATATAATTAGCAAATGGCATACTGCACAAGTAATTTATCATTATTTGGAGGGCACCATTCCAGACGGGCTCAGATATCTGCAGACCTACTGCACTGTTTCTAAATAAAGAACTATAAATACAGATTCTATAAAATATTAATACCATTACAGTGCATTATGATTGCAGCATGTAAAGACATATAGTTAAGATAAAAAGCAGTCAATAAAACTTAAAAGAAAATGAGTAATAAAAAGGCACAAAATATATTTAGTTTCTGTATTTGAAATTAACATTATCTACTGGTCTTTGTAGTGCCTTAAATTTGTACTAATGGCAAACCTAATGCTCCGGTAGTAAAATGTGTAATTTACCTATAATAAGCGCTTTCTAGAGAATAAAAATAGCTTTAAAGAGTGTTTTAAAACATATAAGATAATTTTCATGAATTAAATATTTATTTAAATTCAACACCCCCAACTTCTATTGTTCTTTCCACAATGTGGAAAGATACCAGAAGAGACAACTTACATTTGCTGGCATTGGGGGATAGAGAAGGGAAAGAAGGTAAATGACTGCAGATTTAAATATATTTCAAGAATTTGTTAGCAATCCCAGGGCTTTTCTAGACTTTGCAATCAAAAGACTCTCTGGAAGGAATGGGGACTGTGACAGTCCCCACTCTCTTATTCACAATGCTGCCCTGTCGATATCCACAATTATTTCTTCTAGGAACCTCAACTATTCCCCCTCCTCTTCCTCTGCTCTATTATAAAATAGACTGATCTAAAAAGTAACAGCAAATCATCAGTGAATGGTGTCTTCTGAAGACATTTCACTGTGTCTAATCTCAGCAGAAGGCATGAGTCCCAGTCCTCCAGGCACAGGGCATTTGGGGGCATGGACTTTGTGAGCAAGAGGGCCACCACCCTGGCTCTGAGCAGGAGATGACACGTCATGTCTGAGCAGGAGATGCCAGAGCCATGGACACCCTGCCTGCCTTATCAGAACAAGGGTGTCAGGTGCTATGAGCCGCTGAGATCTCTCCTGGACACTTTCAGAGGTGGCCCTTAAGTCTAGGAAGGGAACCCAGCAGCGAATCCGTTTCTCTAAACATAAAGGTCATAGTCATCTCTAACTAGACCAATGACATGGATCTAGGAGGAAGTCTCTATCCCTTTTGGGGTAAAGGTCCAGAGAATTTCAGGCAGTATTTTCCCACTTCTTGGAGTCAGTCCCGGGTTAGACTCAGACTCATTGAGCTACTGCTTTTTAGACATCGCATCGCAGGCCAGGCTGGGATGGGGCACTTCTGGGCAGCAGGATGTCACAGCTGATTCAGCTTACCTGGAAGCCCAGTGATCAGGTGTGACAGAGGCAGTACCTGAAACTTAGAGGGGTTGTGATGGGACCCGCAGCAGGCAGGCCTACCTAGAAACTCAGGATCCTGGGCTACGGGTGAGAGCAAACCCTGCGGGAGGGCCGGGCGATGAAAGCCTGCAGAGGTGAGGCCCACAGGTGCCGGGTGGGACTCAGGCTGTGTTTAGAAATGCACCTGGAAATGATTACGTGCATCTGGCAGGCAAAGGGGCCGTAGAGAAAACACGGGCATTCATTAGCAGGAGTTAAAGAGGGGGAATGTGGACTTTCCTCTCAAGCCTGGGGATGTGGAGAGCTGCCTTTCTGGGTGGGGATGCACAGAGGATGTGCGTGTCTATTTCCAACCGATACAGATTTGAAAGGCACATGGGAGACTGGGCGTGGTGGCTCACACCTGTAATCCCAGCACTTTGGGAGGCCGAGGCAGACAGATCACGAGGTCAGGAGATCCAGACCATCCTGGCTAACATGGCGAAACCCCGTCTCTACTAAAAATACAAAAAATTAGCTGGGTGTGGTGGCGGGCGCCTGTAGTCCCAGCTGCTTGGGAGGCTGAGGCAGGAGAATGGCGTGAACCCGGGAGGCGGAGCTTGCAGTGAGCCGAGATCGCACCACTGCACTCCAGTCTGGGAGACAGAGCAAGACTCCATCTCAAAAAAAAAAGAAGGAATACAGGAGCGGTAGTACTCAAACTGTATTGTGCATGTATTGTGCATCAGAACCACCAGGGGAGTGTACTAAGACACCAGTTCTGGCCCTAAGGCATAGCGGTTCTGATTCCCTGGGTCTGGGGTGGGGGCAGAAGTTGAAGTTGGCCTTCTAAGTGTCCCTGATAATTCTGATGCAGACAGTGTAAAGACAACCCCTTGAAAAACCAACCTGGAATTGCCTTGGGGTCTTGACAAAGTGCTGATACCTGGTCCCTCCTCCCCACATTCTGAGTTAATTGGCCAAAGATGCAAACTTGGTTTTAGGATCTTTTGGGACTTTCCCAGGTGGCCCTCCGTGGATCCTGAGTGGGGAACCATTGTAGGCAGCCTTCCTTGGAAGTGCCTTTGAAGTGGGAACCATGAATGGTTCAGCAGGGAGGACAGTTTAGACCTCAGGAGGTATTTGAGAATCTGGACTAGGGACTGGACACCCATGCTACTCTGAACTCCATTGGACACAGAATCCCAGTCTTGGGACTTTTTCTTCCTCAACCTGTAATAAGACATGTTGAAGCACGTGTTCTATGGGGTCTTATCCCAATCCTAAGCTCACTTAGGAGCTAAACTAAGTGTCCCGAATAGAGCCAGTAATACTTGTAGACATACGTGTCACCCACTGACTCAGAAACCTTCAGTTTGATTCACACACATTTTTTGATGGAATGAACCAATGGATGAATGAATAAACACCTGCAACCTCCCTTCTTGGCCCTGGACTGAGTAAAAACCAAAGAGCCAGGTCCCCTGCTCTCATGTCTTTTGGAGGAGACATATCATATAGTAGGCTAGCAGAGTTCACACACATGCACTCACTCTCACACTCACACACAGCATGCGGGTGTGCAGGAGGACAGCACCCCTTCACTCCACCCACTGTCTTTAGAGTTCAAAATAGGCCTTGGCCCTCACAGCTCCAGAGAATAAAAGCCAGAGCTGAGAAACAAGAAAGGCTAATTCCTAGCACTGGAGTCTCCACGGGCCCAGGCCTGGTGAATTAGGGGCTGCTTCATGAGCTTTCAAGGGTTTTCTGAGTGCACGTGCTATGCAAGGTTCTAGAAAGCTCTCCACCCACGCTTCCTCTGCCTTCTGCACTGGGATGAAAGGGCTGCCCTGCTCTTTCTGTCCATTTCTCTATGCAGTTCCACCTCCTGCCGGGTCGCTAAAGGGCTTGGTTTGGGTGGCTTCTTCCGATCATTCCAATTCCTCAGCTAAGTGCTCCGCACGTTGTTCCAGGGCATAAACCCTTCCCCTTTGGATTTATGTTCACAACGAAACAAGCTCAATTTTAATTTCCTCGTAATCGCTAAATGATTGGAAGAACCACTCCTGCCCTCTGTCTCAAAGCCCTCTCTCCCCTGTCTGGGCTTCCTATCCAACAAGGGGCACAGGGAAATGCTTTGAAGATGAAAGTGAGCCCCGGCCAGGGTGTGTTTCTAGCCAGGTACATCCAGGGGCTGAGCTGGGAACCTCCTTAGAACCCCAGCAGCCCCAGGCCCTTGTGCTCCACTGGAAACATCTCAGCTGTTTCCCCGGCATTCTTTCCCCAAAGGGCCCATTTCAGAGTGCTCAGAAGGCAAACTTCTCACAATGTTGGCCTAGATGGGGTGGGGTGGCAACCTGGCGGAGAGGCCTAACAGCACACTTCACAGCCTCCAGGGCATGGTCTATGTCCGCTCTTTCATTTGGCTGGCACAGGCAGATGCTGAGTCTACCTCAGCTGAGAACGGCTTCCCAGCCAAGGTCTCTGCATCTGGATGCACTCTTCTGCCCAAGCTCTCTGGGCTAACTCTAGCAAATCCCAGGCCTCCAGGCATGGCCAGATCCATGCCAAAGGAGCCAGGCATTGGACCTGCCTAGCCCTGCCCAACCAAGGCTGGACTCTGCCTGAGACTCAGGCCTGCATTGCCTGGGCGGCCCCAAGGTACAGGCAGCCCCAGACCCTGCCAGCAGCTCTGTCTAGTTGATTGATTGGCCACTTAGGCCATAAATGAGTCCCATCTACTGAGGGGATGACTCAGGTTGTCTCCCAAGGTTTCCAGGGGGTCCAGAGTCCTCTGGTGACCTCCATGATGTTTGTGGTTCATTGCTTTGTGTTTATCTGTTATAGGTGCCACACATTCGCATGCAGGCAGAACCAGGCAGATTAGACGAGTATGCAAAACAGCCATTCTCTCCTGGAGCACAGTGTCACTCAACTCTAACCAACTGTGGGCACTACAACCTTTGATTTTCCAAGAAAAGTCTTGGCCAGGCATGGTGGCTCAGGCTTGTAACACAGGGAGACCTCATCTCCACAAAAAATTTAAAAGTTAAGCAGGTGTGGTGGCACACAACTGTGGTCTAAGCTACTTGGGAGGCTGAGGCAGGAGGATTGCTTGAGTCCAGGAGTTGAAGGCTGCAGGGAACTATGATTGCACCACTGCAC